GTTCAGAGAAAAATTTCCATACAAAGCATTTTTTTGGTCTAGATGGCTTCTTTTTTGCTGATACTAAACTTTCTTTCTCAATATTAATATCATCCACAATCAATGAATGATTAGAAAATTTACTACTATCGGATTTGAATTCTTCACTTGGTTCAGGGTTTGGTGTATTAGGAATATATTCTTCATCTTCAGAATCCTGAGAATCGACAGTTTCATTCGAAATTTCTAATAGTTGTTGTTTTTCTGCTTCTAAAGCTTCAATCTTTCTTCGTTTAGCACGTGTAGTTGTAGCCATATTGCTAAGAAGAATGTTTCGTTTGATTAGAACAAGATCTACTATTTTTATCTATTTTTATTTATTTTGTGTAATCGATTTTTGCCGATTAATCGGATTAAATAAAAATCGATTTAAAATCGTTACAATTAAACGATTTTAACCGAGTTTGAAAATTTTAATCGATTTTAGTTTCGATTTTCGATCTTGGCGATTTTCGCAGTTTCGATTCCGATCCCTACATTCAATTCATTTATACATAAAGAAATTTACTCTTCTCGGCCAGATTGACTATATTAGTATAATATATAATGATATTTGCCATCTCAGTGTTAGAGATAAGCCACTTAATTTTTAACGTAATTAAGTTTTGTTATCAATCTCGTTATTAAAGTTGATACGGATTGGTATTACTGTAATACGAATTTTAAATTGTGCAACATATTACCAATATAAATATAATTTCTTGTAAAATTTTCAATAAATTTTCCAAATGAATTCTGAAATTTATTATAATAAAAACGGAGAACTGTGTATTAGGTGTAAAAATCCTTATTCTCATGTAGATGTGACCGATGACGCAGAAATCCGCTGGTGTAAGAAATGTTCAATAAAATACGTACAAGAAAATGAATGTACTTGGAGTGGGGATAAAAAAATTGATGATTTCATAAAGAGAGAACAACAAAAGTCGAGAACTCCAATAGAATTTTTTGAGTGGATACCTTATGAAAATTTTAAGGATATTGAGCAAATCGGTAAAGGTGGATTTGCCACAATTTATTCCGCAATTTGGAAAAATTCTTTAAAGGTTTATAATGAAACCAATAATAGCTGTGATCGGTATGAAGACATGGCTGCCTTAAAACGTTTGCATGGTGTAAAAGAATTTACCGATGAATTCTTAAACGAGGTAAATTAACGGTACGGTTGATGACTAAAAATTAAAAGTACCACATGTATTAATCTAGATTAAAATTATTTTAATAGGTTATAAATTGTCCAATTGGTTCTTTCGACAAGGGATTGCTTAGATGCTATGGGATTTCACAGGATCCTGAAACAGAGGAATATATCATGGTTCTCGAATTGATGTGCGGAGGAAATTTACATGAATGGTTGAATAATAATCAAAATAAACATAAATGGGCGGACAAATTATTCCTGCTTCATTACATAATCAAGGGTCTCTATAATATTCACGAGAAAGGATTAATTCATAGAGATTTCCATTCTGGAAACCTCTTGGTAAGAGAATATTCTTCCAGATTTGCGTGTATCTCGGATTTGGGATTAAGTGGTCCGGTAAATGATGAAGATAGGATAGATAATGGAATTTATGGAGTCATGTCTTACTTACCTCCGGAAGTATTAAATCATAAACCGTACACACAAGCTGCCGATATTTATGGTTTAGGAATGATTATGTATTTGATTGCTACTAGTTGTCAACCATTTCATGGTGTAGCTCATGATCATCTTTTATCGGTAGACATATGCCATGGCGTCCGTCCTGAATTTAACAGAGAAGAAATACCTAATTTTTATCTTGAGATGATGGAAAGTTGTTGGGATCAAGTTCCTTCCAAGAGAATAACTTCTAAAGAATTATATGAATTATCATCCGCTTGGTGGCTAGACAATAAAGGTATTAAAGAAAATTTAAAGGATGAAGTAATAGATCAATTAAAAGGTTATGATGATTATTTACTATCTGCTGAAAAACAAATTCATCCTCAAGCTATATATACTAGCAGATTGATAATTACTTGGTAATTATTTAATCTTGTTTGTAATATTTGTTTAATTTGGATTCATTATCTAATTTATTCATATCTTATTTATCATTTAAACATAGCGATTCCTTGGATAATCTAGGAATATGATTGGTATATTTGTCTATATTAAATTTTTATATATAAATATTTATTATATTTTAACTGCACTGTATTTCTTGAAATATAATTTATCAAATCTCCTCTTTAAATGTGGAAACAACTAAGTATGAAGGTTTGTAGTAAAATAAATAATATACTTTATGGGAAATAAATAAAAGAAACTGTTTATGCTGCTGCTTTTGGTAATATCGGTGTTCAAAATTGAATTGTTAAAAAGTTTATTTTTTATGATAATAATTGTTTTATTCAAAAGTTAAATCAATCTATATCTTCATAAAGTGTCACGTTGACGCCATTAGTATTAAAGATATCTAATAATATAAAAGATCATGTAATATTTTAAGCGAATTGCACAGATCAACCACATATGGTACTTCCAAAATTCTGAAATTCCATCAAGGTCTTTACGATACGATATAAGCTTAAAGAAATTTATTTTCCTTTAAAATATTATTATATTATTTATAATTCATCCAAGAACATTTGGTATACGAATATAATTTTGATAACGGAATCAATAGCAGTTTATATATTAATAAAAATTGCGAAATAAATTCTTCTAATCTTCAATTACTTATTTATTACATTTGCAATGGTCAAAAAAAAAGGATTCTAGATTCTAAATTACAAAATATTTACATCGCATCTAAATTACTTATACAAAATTTAACTTTCAAAATAAATAAAATTTGTTACAACCAATTAAAATCTTAGCCGCTTCTTCCTATCTTTCAAGTTTTATTTTATAATTATAAACTTCAACCTCCGTACTATACAGGGGAATGCATGCCCAATTTGGTGTTAAATTCCAATTTTGATCTCTTTTGAAATCTCGTGTATTCTTTTCTATCATGTATTTTCACCAATTCTTGTATTGGTATAAAAATTATAGGTGATAAGAATCCGATGAGATAAATATAATATGGAATTTCTTTAAGCGTTGAAAGTGGTCCTGGTAGTAATGATACGGTAGTGAAAATCGCTTGAAAGATTAAACTAATAATAAATAAGGTATTTATTAAACTTAATTTAAATAAAGATAATTTTTTTTCTTAAGAAAATTTTAGAGTTACCTTATAATCACAGATAATATCCAAATTTTATTCTTAAACGGAAGAAATTGTCTTAAAGATAACGTTCGATGAACAAATGTGGATGATAACATACCTGGAAAAATTATCAATCATTAATATTCATATTCATTCTCTATTAACAAACTATATATATCACGTATTACTTACTTATATACCACACAAATATGAATAATGTGAAGTTTTGCGAATATAATACAACCCATTGCTGCTCATATTTCCATCTCAACCATCCATCTCTTCCATAAGACCCAAATATTATAGATTCATCAGGATCATTAGTTAACGTACCATTTAAAAAGTATAAACATCTATCAATGATGGAAATTTGTATGTTAAAAGTGATATAAAATTGATGAAATACTAAAAAAAATGAGATATAAATAGTAAAGTCCATACCCAGAAAAAACCGTGAGACACATTAATACAGGTAAAATGAATCTCAAGAACCAATATACCAAAAATCTATTCAAATCCTTGAGGTGTTCTATGTTCTTGACTTAAAAAAAAAGTGAGAAATTTGAGTGGTCAGCACAAACGATAGAAATTACAATGAACGTCGTTAACCAACCTGTCATAGTTGTCATAGTATCAGCTTCATGTGGATTAAATAAAAAAGAAAACGCTAATATAGGGGAAATTATCCAAGTAATCCATAATATATGATATCCAGTAAGTGCAGGTGGAAGAAATAAAATATACGAGAATAACAAGAGCATGGATATTGATAAATAAGTTCCTAGCATAAAAGCAATTCCCTAATGATGATTATGATCGATTAGAGTATAATATTGACAAGTAAAATTTATAAAATACTTTGTAAAACATATATACCATTTTCAGGCAGTTAATTAATCTTCTGGCTTCCCTTATAACGTCAGTTAATGCATACAGGCTAGTATCATAATGCATGAATAACCCACATGGTAAGGTGGTAAAAGCAGCGCCAAGGGCCATTGGAGATTGTCCTTTATCAATATTACCATTATAATGACATAACCCGTTTCTTGTTTGTGCTTTAGTATGTGTCGGCTCCATAGCGACACTCACATCTGCCTATTAAAAAAAGAAGTTTGACTTTGTTAAAATGAAATTTTTAATGACAAATTATTCCTAAAATAAAAAACACGCACAACAGCAAACGAATGAGTATTTGAAGCATTTAATGCACTTCCAATACAACAAACAACTTCTCCATAATCTTGAAATATTTTAATCATCTCACGTGTCGTCTCGGGAGTGCATTCTGCAAATAACGACACGTGTAATGGAATATCGTCCACCTCTTCTAGATGTTCTCTTATATTATCTATTCCACGGGGAAGGCGTGCTTTAATATCATGAGATTCTAAATACCCGTCACCGAATGAATTTTCATCACCTGGCGATGATAAAAGTATACAACTGTTCCAATCTGTTTCAAGTCCAAGTCGTTCACCATAAGCTAAGAAAAAAAAAATTGAAAAAAAGGAGTCGATAAATTGCTAGATAAAAGGGATAGTTTAAAATTATTCGTTTCGGACCTTTGCTTTCCCTCTCAGCTGTTGGAGAAAAGTAAACAAATCGGATGCCAGCAGAATTTAAATCCTCAATAAAATTGCACACATCCTAAAAAAAAAAGAAGGTTTTCAATGCATAGTTAATAATAGGTTTATAAGTATTTGAATTATACGTAAAACAAATTTTTTTTTTACATACCAATTTAGGCTGGTGACAAAGTGTGGCCATCGCCAGAAAAATCTGTCCCTGAATAACTTCATGATAAAATCTCTCCTCGTCTTGTGACGAAATTGTATTCTCATCAAACAAAAAATCATGCAGCTTAGCTTCCAATTGATCGGCCTTCAATCTTTTAAGCCTAACTATTTGTGATAAAGAAAGATCAAGATCATCATTTTCTTCTTCCTCAGCAATTTGATCTATTTCAGGAGGGTTTGGTAAAACAATGTAGGTTCCACATGTCTCATTAGGCGAATCTTTCAAAAATGGAATTCTTTTGTGATTTTCAACATTTATAGGTCGATACGCGTATGCAATACATTGCATATCATTTATTACGGAATTCTCATAAAAATCATAAATCTTATTCTCAATCTAGAAAACGAGTAAAATTTATGAAAATATATAATAGAAATGAAGTTCATTACAAGGTGTTAATTTTCACCTCTTCACTCATGGCTTGTAATCTTTGACCATCCCAAAAATCAGAACAGTTATCGAGTATAATTTCAATGTTGCCGTCAGAAAGCAATTGATATCCGCCTGGAAAAAAAAAAGTTGACAAAATATATTATTATGCCATAAAAAATTATTAGTGAAAATCCAAAGAAAAAAAATGTATACTTTGTCCTTCTTCTTCATAAATAGAAGAAACCATGCTGGGCACTTCCCACTGGTCATTCCTTATTCGTTCCTGTAATGAAGGATGACATGGGGCACTAGTAAAAATCTCTTTTTTCTTTGCAAATGCATTAAGAGCATCATCCGTAAAACCTATTTCTCTACCCAGGCGACACAAACACGCTAAAAACGAACAATTTAATGTTAAGATGTTGAATAAATAACGACAGAACTTCAAAATAATTTAGTACGACTTACATTGTCGTGCTGGCTTTGACTTTGTATGAATACAAAAACTTGAATATTTACGATGTTGATGTTCGCGTTTTCGACCTTTTAAAACACCACAATTAGTGTTTAATAGAAGATTGAGTCCCAAAGGTTTTAACCGACTGAAATTATATTTTAAAATTTTTTTTTAAAAAAAAAAAAGAAAAATATTTCAAATAATAATTTATCAAAGACATACGATAAGTGCTGATTCCAATCTTGATCTTCAAATTTAACACCGAATTCGGTGCTCGGATCTTCAGCGATATCAAGTAGAGTATGATCTTCATTTGCATTAGGGAAATATATTTGATCAACCGAGGCAAACGGCTATAGAATTCGGATGATCGAATGGTGAGTAAAATCACGTGTAAAATTTATCATAAAAACAACATTAATATTTACAGATGAAATTGTCCCTTCTCTATCAATAGAACAAATAATTGTGGTGCTTCCAAGTGACTCAAACAAATTCGTTGATCTTGTCAGCGACGTTCCATCCCATTTCGTGAGTAAATATCTGAACTTATTCCATAAAGCACCTAATAAATTGGTTAATTAGTTAAAAATATACAGGGATCAAACAAAGTACAAGAATAATGCTATAAATACCGCTATCGATGTGCACATTTTTTGTTGGTGGGGGAGCCTCAGCATCAAATTCATCTACTTCATCATCGTCTTCATACCCGGTATCAGAAATTTGTAAAGTTTCAAATAATACGAGCAGCGTAGCGTTCGAGAAACTACGAACAATCAGCCAAAGCGTAGGAAAAGGCAATGGTATAATTGGGAGTATAGCATATATAGGAAGCACTACCAAAAGTTCAAAAGCTTGATCTAAATGTCCATTTTTTGAGATAGCCTCTTTTAAAATAAACCTAAACAGGTTGATCCCAACAGCCAGTCCAAACACAAAGAAAAGTATTCGATAAAAGAATTTTCGTAAAACATCTACTTGGTTATATATAATTGTAGCAGGTCTTTCTTGAACTAATGCGGCCTTTAAACTGTTAGCCCAAGGAGTTTCCAAGAGAACAAATTGATATCTTCCCCTATTTTGAACATGTTGTTCCCATACTTCTTTTGATGTCATATCATTGAATAATGACGGTTTAAACACATGACTAGCTTCCAAAATATTATTGGAAGAGACACTCGAGGAAGGTCCTTTTTGTATTAACATCATCTTACATGGTGCCACGTCACCATACAACATTTCAACAACGTCACCTTCTACTAATAAAGTCGTAGGGAAGCTACGAACCACACCATCACGGACGACTTTTGCTACCGTGAGTGAAGGAACGAATGGAATTTTAATGTTCTATATAATATAAAGATGAATCAATAGATCAATAAATCAATTAATCATTCATGCGATCGTGATATACCTGTATTGTGTTCATGTCACTCTGCTTCAATTGGTCTAATATATGTTGGGCACGTTCATTAATCTCGTTTAAACCCAGCTGTTTTTCTTTGATATAGATAAATACATTAAATATACATATCAATAATATCAAAGTTGCTTCAATCAAAGTTGTGGTGAATCGAATTTGATATATGTCGCTTTTTAACATGCCATATATGCAAAAAGCAAACAAAAGGACGATTGATAAGATTGTGAGAATTAAATCGGGACCAATTTCTTTTATATCTATGATTAAAATTTGAATAAATCTAGTTAAGCAACCCATTCGCAATTTGCAATAAATAAAAATGGTTCACTTGTAATAAATATTTACACGTCGAAGTCAGAATATGTTTTCGGTGTTCTGCAAGTATGTTATTGACAACTTCGATGAGTTTTCTGAATAAAATAATTAGAATAAAATCATTATTATTTAAAAACGAGAAAAAAAAAATTTAAAATCAATACTTGCTCTGATGCCTGTTTACTATGTAAGCCACGTTCCTTTGAACCAGAATTATTTTCATTACCAACGACCAAATCATCAGGCAATTCCGGAACTTCTTCCTCGAAATTGTAACATCGCATATTGTTACCACCTTGATTTAACTCCAACTCAATCATATATTCTTCATCTCCTTGTATTTGTTTTAAAACTCTTAAAGGTGCGGTATCACTTGAAGTATTATTATTCGAATTTAAAGATTTGACGCTATTAGCTTTATAAATTTCGCTTTTGATGAAAAGGTTATCATTATCTTGAGTAATTGATGTATTCAATCCTTGAGAATTTTCAGAATTTTCCTCCATTTATTTTATTATAAGATACCTTTTTTTTTTTAAAAAAAAAAAAAAATTAAAATGTTCGTAGAGTAAAAAAAAAAAATTTTTCAAAAAGTTTTGAAATACGTTTATATATATATGCACGACTAATTTGTGATCAGCACAAACAATACAGCAGCGTGATGATCGACCCGTGCATTTAACATAATACAAAATAAGAATAAGTTTTTTATTAAGGCTCGCCAACTAATTTATAAGTAATGTCCAAATTTTCGTCAATCCAACCAGCATACATTAGTTGTACCCAAAGCATTGACAGAGCAAGAAAAGACCACATTGATATTAAATTTGCAATTCTTATATTACAAGCTATTCTAATGTTTGAGGACATATAATCGTACGTTGCCGGACAATAAAATGGAATATAACCGATCTCATACCATGTATAATGTGTGTATAAGACTGTAAGGAAACACGTGTTTGGATTAACACTGTACTTTCTAAAAGAAAAAAAAATAAATTTCATTGATAATTACCCGCGACAATTATCCACAATAAAATTAGCCACCTATTAATTATTAAAATGAGATATTAATTGCTTTAATAAAGGTACTTCAGCTGTTACATGACATGACAAAGATAAATACATTAAGATTTTTTGTAATCCATATCTCGATATCGTCACTATAGAACAACAATTTGCTATGATAAGACCAAATAACAGGACTGTAAATATTCAAAGTCAGAATTAAACCTCATTTTTAAATAAAACAATGGGTTATTTATTGAAAAAAAAAATCTTACATGGACCGAATATCGCCAGAATTAAATACCTGAATAACAAATGCTTTTAACTTTTTTTACCAAGTTATAATTAAATCATTCAAATTGTATGAACTTACGTAAATTCGAGAGCAAAATATAAAGGTAACTCATCGTTAGATTGTGCAAAGAGTATTATCTTTGTAATCTCTAGGAAAATTTTAAGAAAACAAATACATTTATAATCTGCCAAATGGCATGGAAGGGTAAAAACAAAAAGAAAAACTGACCGACCTAGGGCAGGACATGCTAATAGTAAAATAAACAATGGAATTCCTAGTAATATCCCCAAAAGAAATCTACAAATTTTTAAAAACATGAGAAATAATTTATTCTCGAAACAACTCATTTTTATTACTTTATAGATTTCGGTTGTTTTCCATTAAAGAATTAGTTCTTATTACGAGAAGGCTTAGACTATTGATGCTAAGCCAAATACTTGCGTGCTGCGCCTTAATATGGCTTCACAAGGATCTCTTTTGGCCAAATTTATAAAATATAAATGGATTTTTCTAATTTCAGGATTTTTTACCTAAGAACGAACAAAATTTATGGATCAACGGTCATAAAACATTTGGATTTCATATGAAGTTTGTGATATACAATAAATACCCCTTGCATCTGAATTATAAATCAATTTTTTGAACTAGTCGACACGAAATTTAAGGAATAATGATGTTGATTATTTAATCTTTTAAAGCCAAGAAATTGGAGGAAAAATAATAGGATCTTATTAACCAAGAAAGCAACTCGTTCGAAAGAATCTTCGCTTTTCCCTTTTCCCTTTTCCCTTTTTTTATATTTTTTAATTAAATTTTGTGCCATAGAAATAAATATATGTATTCATTGATCAAGGAAACACAATAGAATCTTACTATGTAAACGATTCTAAATATGAGATGTATATTTTCTTAATAAATTGAGTATGAGAATATAAAATCATTAAAAGTCATATTTTGAATTTGCGAATTATTTCTATATTTGGAGACTCATTCTACTCGATAGCAAAAAAAGAGATCGACTTAAAAAATAATTATTTTACACTTAATTAATTAATTATTAAAGAAATAATTTTGAAAAGCAAACTCGAGCGAGCTTATTTAATTAAATATTAAATTCCATTTTGAACTGGATATAAATTCTAAATAACATGTTGAATAAACAAACTAAAAATTTTAGCCTGATCTTTTTATCGATATCCCTTATGGTTGCATGTTTCACTTATAAAACATACAACCAATGAATGTAATTATATTAATTCGGTGAATTCGAAAAACAATTTGGCAAAGATAACCGTAAATTTACATTACAATTGGCAGAATGTTTAAAGTTACATTTCAAATTAAAATTCATCTGTGAACGTCATACGCAATTTGGTGATATAATAATCACATGCGCATTCTATTATATTTATATCCTTGTGAATCAATTTTCTTGTGGAATAACAAGATTATATTTGCTAAAACAAAAAAAAAATTTTTTTCTCGTTTTTTTCTCTTATTGTCTAAGTTGTTTCGAAGAATTAATTATTTCCTTGAAGGTATATTATTATTATTTTTGATTAAGGAATAATTAATAATTTGAAGTTTTTTTTTTTTGACATCAAAAATTGGCGCTCTTTTATGAAAATTCTGATTGGACGTATTCTGGTATCATATCAGGTCATTCTTATCAATCTAATCGCCGTATAGTAAAAGTACATTAAATCGATCATGTGGGTTTGAGAAAAGTATTTTGATCTACTACATATTTTAACCAAATTTAAAATTTATAAGTTTATTTTAAATTATCTTCATGTGAGAACATGTTGAGTATCAAAAAATTTTTTTTTTACATAAAACAAAACATTTTCTTATAACCTTATAACGGCTTACTTATTATGATGATTTTTATTATCTTTATTTTCTTCGTTCCTCTTATTTTGTGGAAATTATTATTTAATGACAAAGAGAATAACATGTCGTCTTTAGATAGAGTTGATAAACTTGCCAGATATATCTTTTCATATTCTTTTGGAGTCTTCTGGAGTATTGTCTGCGTAGGTATTCCTATCCTAATAGAAAAGTTTATTAAACGTAAAGAAGTTTTTGTCAAAAAGGACAGAAGTAATTGTAAGTTTTCTTTATTATGCATTTATTCATGATACATATCATGAAATCATTTATGTAATTCTTCATATTCGTTTCATTGTTAGATGAATCAAGGTTATACACGGAATGTTCAGATTTTGGACAACATAAAACATTAGAGGTAGAAGGGAAATCTTTTCATTACTTTGAGTCTGGAGATGTATCAAAGCCTTTAATTTTGTTTTTGCATGGTTTTCCCGAGGTATTTACATTAAAAATTAATAAATAAAAATATTTTTATGTTATGAATATCTAACGATATGGTTGCCTTCTATTTATTTAGTTTTGGTATTCGTGGCGGTTTCAACTCCGAGCACTTCGAGATATGGGGTATCATTTAGTGGCCTTGGATATGGTAAATATCAACAATAAAACAATCCCGATTATGTTAAATGAGCATCTGATTTATTTTTATTATTTTTTTTTTATTTTTATTTTAGAGAGGTGCCGGCGGAAGTTTTAAACCACGTGAAGTGCATAATTATAACGCGAATTTATTGTTGGCCGATATACGTGAAATCATACAAAAATTAACTCAAAATGGACGTGCGGAATGTTTGGTCGGTCACGACTGGTAAATAAAATATATTAATATATATTTTTATATGTATATATGTATATACGTTTTTCCTCAAAAATTATAATTCATATCATCATGTTATTACAGGGGTGCTTTAATCGCATGGCAGGCCGCAGCACAAAGTTGGGAATGGGATCAATATCAGGACCATTCAGGATACATCGACCGACTAATAATACTAAATGGTCCACATACGGGCGTAGTTGCCCTAAATGTTTATTCACGATTTAACGACGTCTTTCATTATCGCAATTTAAAATCTTTAATAAGCAATCCTATATCAACTATTACAAATTCTTGGAAATCACTTCAACCTTGCTTTGATCAAGCGCTTAAATCATTTTATGTAGGTATATTCATGATGCCAAGTCCAATCGGAGAAACCTGGTTTTCTATAAAAGATTTTGAAATATATGAAAAAATTTTAAAAACTCTTCCAAGTGAAACAATGACTGAAGAGGATATTAACCTTCATAAGGCAGTTTTTTGCGCGAATGATCTTGCTTGTCTTACGGGCGGTTTGAATTACTATAGGAGCAATGCTGCGAGAGGATTTTTTGAAGATCAAAAAAGACGCGGGATTAAGCAACCCGGTTTTATTGGAATCCCTACTTTGGTTATTTGGGTACGTACTTGAATTAGTCTAATTTTTTTTTTTAAAAAAAAGTAGTAAATGAATTTTAAATTTTTTTTTTTTTAAATTCATAGGGAGATCAGGATAGGTATCTAAATAAAGACTTATGTACACTCAATCTGGAAAAGTTGGTATCAAATCTAAAAATTGTACATATTCCCGAGGCTCAACATTTTGTTCAAGAAGAATGTCCTGATAAAACTAATGATATAATGAGGAGGTTTATAACGAGTCAAGGAAATCTCCATGATCTTGATGAAAATAAAGTCATAGATTAATATAATTAATATAATATAATTTAATAATTAATAATAAAATTTGGATATTAATTAATTACGAAATATTAATATGCACCATTCATAATCGTTTTATTATAAATAAAAAAAACTGGAATGATCTACAATGGCAGTTAAATTTATGTTAGTTACCATTAATAGTTTATCTTTTTTATTAAAATGAATAAAATGGCCACCAAGGCAGGTTAGGCTTATAGCAACAACAATACAATATTTGTATAGTTATGGGTACAGTACGCAAAGCTATTATTTATGTTAATAATAAAAGAGGTTTATTTCTGCGGTGAACTTTATCTAATAAAGGATCTAAAACACCGAAATCAGGAGGGGGTTTTTGTTCTAGTATTATTTCGAATTTATATTTTCTTAATAATGAAGTTACCAATGTCATAACTTCGATAGTAGCGAAATTTTGTTAGAGGCTGTCAAATTTTAATGTAAAAAATTATTAAAATGAAAATATCAGTAATCATTCATTTAGGTCGGTAAAGAATACATAACATAATTTTGGAACACAATTAAAACAGACAAATTTATATTGGCTCTGTTTTAAACCATTCTCAATATTTAATAATGGTTCGGGTTCAAATATATTTGTATCTTTACCCAAATTCTCTCTCATCTCTGCATACTAAATCGTCGAAGCAGTTCATTTTTAAGACAATACTGTCAAAAAAAGTGTAAATTATTATGTAAAATAATTTAAAATTTTACGAGTTAAATTTTCTTTGTGCATGTATATTCAAATTGCTTAACGTCTTCATGTTTTGGAATGGGATATTCTTCTGAGAGCAATCGTTCATCAACTTTTCTTTAACAGCATTAGATTATACGAGAGGGTCTGTGTAGTCATGTCGCGTCTAAGCAAATTTTTTTTAACTTTTTTTAAAAAATAAATATAAAATAAAAATAAAATAAAAAATATTAAATTTTAAGAACGAACGTACCTGCAACAATTAAATTCAAAATAACCCTTAATTATTTATTGTTTCAAATTGAGCGTTTATAAAAATATTAAGAATATCTTTTGGATTTTTCAAATTTCCACATTTCTACGTTGTTTGATTATTTTATAAGCGAAATCCGATAAATAATTACGCATTTTAAACAAAGGGTTTGAAATCCTACTAAATCGAATGCCGTTGCAAACTTTATTGGTTATTTGTGATTTTTCAAACATTTCAAGTTCAATCCGAATGTAATCTTTATGAAAGAATCCAAGGTGAATCTGAAAAATAAAATAATTATTGCAAGTCAAAGATTTTATCACGTGCCTTTGCTTTCATTGATTTTTAATAATTTTCCAGTGTTTTCTTCAAATTCAACACAGATAATTTCGCGGATATTTTTTGCGTTAAATAAAATGACTTGTTAATTTTCGTTCGAATTTCCTCGTAAAAAAAAAAAAAAAAAAAAAAAAAATTACGTGTCGTAATATTTACGTGTTTCATAAACATACATACTGAAAATACCATCACGAATGAAGTTCGAGTAGATTATAAGAGTGCATTGTATTTTTTTTTCTCATCACAGCTTTAATATTATAGTTTTGAACATTATAATTATTAATGTACGTAAAAAAAAAATAAGAGTACTTGTATTAATTGTAGTAAAGATTTCGATAAATTACATGAGATTTCGTGGTAATCATAAATTACCTAGCTTCAATTGCACTAAGAAAATAAATTATATAATTTGAAACTTTTTTCTAACAAGCAAATAAACTATAGATTCAGCTTATAATAAGGAAGCTCCTAAATGTTGTTAGCTTAAACGGTTCGTCGTTAAGTTAACTAAGATTATTTGCTAACAGGGAGTTTAAGTACGTCTAAACTA